TTAAAAATGGAGTTGAATGGAATTGGTATTGGTATAGCTTTTGAAAATTTGGAAATTCATTCCCTATGGATTATTCTCTTTTGTCTTGTGACATATGACAAGTTCTTGAAACTTTGTTTCAAGAAATTGTAAACTTGATATAAATTGAATTCATGAGGGGTTTGGAAATGGCAAGATTGACATTTGGAAAGGATATCCTTCTCGGGATTGATCCGATAATTTTCTTTTTAACGAATTTAAACGTTTTAGACCGATACATTCATGATTTCATTTTAAGCTTCACTGATTTGACTTGATTTTAAAAATGGATCGGTCTCCTTTTCGTTCGTTTTGTTTTTCTTTTTTTTAACGGTCAAGTTAAAAATGAGAATTTTTTATTTAATTATATTCAGAAATGATTCACAGTCTTAAGGGAAATATGAGGAAGAGAGAAAGGGAGAGAAAATTATAAATAAGATTTGGATCTTCGATGTGATAAAACCTAAAGGGGGATAGAATAGCGAATCATCTATTGTTCCTTTTTGCATATGAAAGATAAAACTGTAAATTGGAAGAATATTTGGGGGTTGGAAGAAACTAAGAATTTAGATAACAATAAGGGACATGGATTGAAAATATTAGTAGACTTGCATTTAGGTTCCTAAGTTTTGAATAAACTTAAATCCAATTGCTCTAATTAGGTTTGAAGCACACTTCACAATCTTTTAGCCAAAACTATAGGTTTACCCCCCTAGGTTTTAGGAGCTTAATGGTGAGCTAAGCTTAATCTAAAGAAGTTTGAGGGTTAGTTGAAAAGCACTTAGTTGAAGTTAGACACTTCAAGTTTAAACTAAAGTGTAGGCTTCCTAGGTCTTAGGAGCACACCCTGAGAGAATTCATCCTCCTAATTTTCAAATAAACCTAAGAAGCCAAACATCTTACCACAGTTTGTGAAATAATTAGGACACTAGACACGATGATGCACTAGATTGTGATTCATGACTGATTTAATTAAATCAAATAATGAAATTCTTGTCTTAACTTGACCAAAACTGAAACCCAATGCTCCGGGATTTGAGTTTGTCTTACACTCAGATCCTCGTAGCGATTGGGGACATCCCAAATATCACATATAAATCTCTTATTCATGATCATTGATATGTGATATTGTATTTTGTTTCATTTGTTTATTTTTTTCCTTCTATTTACTTATTTTCTCAAGTTTTTCAGGTCGTAATTTCTCCTTTCACACAGCGCAAAATAACTATACTTAAAGGAGCAATGAACCTCCCAGGTGTACAGGTTTAACTTATATTATACATTATACTGTTCTTTTCATTATACTGCATGTTTAGTTATTTTGATATACACTATGCCTTAGTTTATGATAACCTAGTGGCTAGGTGCATTTTCAAAACCAAAACTAAACCCGGAGGTGCTACTACAAAAAGCTTGGAGCGAACATCATGGGCAACGCGAAGAGGAACAACTTTAAGGTACAATTTTAAGGTAGATTTGCAACAACAAAACATCAAAACACATCACATAAACGTCTTCACATCACAAAACACTTCCCTTAGTTTAAATAACAACTCATAGGATCACCCTTCAGGCTTTTGCACAACTCTGTTGAGCAATTATAAGTCTTAACACTTTAGAATTCCGAGGTTACCGTGCGGTACGGTGTAAATCCTCCTATCTTTCTAGGTTATTTGCACAGTCCGATATTGTGTAAACATAAGTCCTAAATTCTAAATAATTTGCATTATTGAAATATCAAAATTAAATCATTTCAAAAGACATAAAGCCAAACAATAGGATAGTTGGGAGTTCATCGGGGTTTTCCCCGGATCTGTGATATCCCCTACTTTTCTTCCCTTTGGATTCCTTAAATAATTGTTCCTATTTTGAGTCATTCCCATTTAATTTTCTCATGTCCAATCATGAAAACCTAAATTTTGAAATCTTGAAGGCAAAACCACCTGATCTTAATGGAGAGTTTTCTTAAGTGATTTCGATCATTTAAGATCTATATAACTAGGGAACCTGGAATCCAGATAAAATAAACCCTATATAATCCTCGTATTAGGTAGGGGAACTTGTTGGCATTTTTATAAAATATTTCGCAGACCAAAACGGATGTCACAATTTTTTTAGTTTAGGTGATTGAATCTCTATTACAAGTGATATATTTATTCTTCGAGATAAGTGTATTACTTGTAGTATTGTATTCAATCATCTAAACTATTTAAAATGTGAGACTCGTTTGGTCTCACTTATTTTAAAAATTAAAATGTTACTTTTAAAAATAAAAAAAGGTTATATTCATATTTAAATTATTTTCAAAATCACATAAACATATTTTTTTTCAAATCACGAAGTTAAAAAAAACGGCCGACAAGACCCTAGCTTTAAAAGTGGAGAAATAATATTATCAGATGACCCACATCTTAGAGACAGAGTTCAATCCCAAGATCAAGCATCAAGAATATACTCATCAAAATATTTGAGCTGACCCCACCTGAGGAGACATTAGTTTAGAGTGGAGAACAGGTGAAACGAATTCGCATTCTCAAATCTATCACAGTCAAAAAATATTTTAATTTCAATGGTTCTGAGCATATTGAATCAAATTACACAACTAGAAGAAAAATTTATTTCACCGATCAAGGAGTAGTTGAAGAAATAAATAGTGATTCGGGAAAAGATGAAGATTTCAGAGAGGATTCTCAACTTTCAGCCAAATAGAAAGAGACATCAACAAGTTCAGTTGACCCTAAGAGAGCGACTCCAATTGAATAACAAATAATTGTTCTAGAAGGGAGTATGTATAAGGTAACAGGCATTCATGCAAAGTATGAGATAGCGGTGCTTTGAATTAACTTTTAGCAGGCGTTGGTAAAAGGATCAGTAGGGCTGACAATGGATTTCCAAAAGGGCCATGAGTTCGAGGACATAGGGCAACCTCGAATAAAACCATTTCATAATTCTAAGTACATAGTCTGCCTCTTGAGTTGAAAATACTGAGGGAGTTCCAACACATCAGGGATAAAGAATATTTGGGTCATTTCAAAAAGACCATGTGGAGTCATTTGAGTATCAAATTCAATTCAACAGTGTGCTCACAAACAAATGGTCAGATAGGAGGGATGACCCGCATTGTTGGAAGCGCCTTAAGTGCTTTGCAGAAAAAAATATCTTATAATAGGATCCAAATCCTTTCTAAGAAAAAGATGCATCACCAAAGTGGTTACACTTTAGTGTAGTTCAATCTGTCATAGATTTCATACTAGAGTTGATTCCTCCCAACATATTTGTTTACCAGATAAACTTGGACATGTATCAGAGTGAAAGAAGCAGATTATATATTTAATTGCTCAAGATTCGACTTGTGGGAATCTAGAGTCGACATGCAGCTCCAGCTCAAGTTGTGTCGAAAGTGGATGGACACTTATTCTATCAGAATGTGCTTTGGGATGACAACTTTAAAATTGATGTACTGGGAGCTGACAACATTTCTGCTACCTTTATTGGGGTTGATCTGACTATTATAAGGATGCAGAAGCTTTGAAGGATGAAGTTGAAGCTCCCCAATCTTCGGAACCAATACGAGAGCACCCACTGCTCCCAACGCGGAAATCCCACAAAAGAAGTAACAACCCGGATGTTGTACTTGGATCGAAAAAGTACAAGTGTTGTCCCAGTGAAGGAGTCTACCGGTCCACTTAGGCCACTCCTAGTTATCCTATTTTTATAAATTTACTTTCCTTGGAATCTAGGAATAGTTTTGTGTGTTTTGTATCGGGACAGTAGTGGACGTGTCTTCTTACCTTCGAAAGTCATATCCTAGAGTTTCAGATGATGTTTTGGTTGTATCCTGGTCTCCATTTGGTGATTATCTTCTCAATCCTATTATGCATCCTCCCCATGTCTCTCCCGACCACCCTCCATTGTTGCAGCAGCCCATAACAGCCCCTCCCAACCACTTCTTTGTTGTCCAACCCCCTCTTTATTGCTGCCCCCAACCAGGATAACAACCGCACTTATCTGTCGTTCTTGTAGCTTTGCAGTTCCCCCTGAAGGTTAATCACACACCTATGCTACCGCCATGTCTTCTAGCCTTTCCCCCACCCTTGCTACCTCACTGGAGGACCTAACCCTGCTCGCTGATCACCTCCACCAACCCAAAATCCACCCTAGTTTAAGTGTTTGCATTTTGTTCTTTCCTATTTCTGAGTGTCTTTGGTTGTAATCTCTGTTAGGTTTCAATAATAAAAGTTATATTTTCGTTGTCAATTGGCTCAACTCGAGTAACATATATATATTTCTAAGAAACCGACTTCAAATTTAAGTTCAAATATGAGCGAACATTATGCAAAATAAAAAATTATCCAAAAAAAATTTTAATTAAAGTTTATTATAAATATGAATAATCTATTACTATCATAACAAATCTTTTTTTTTTGTACAGTCCACTTGGCTTAGTGATTGGGTGATTTGTCTCCAACTATAATGTGAAGTCAGAGGTCTAGCATATACTAGTGTCTATATGAGTAAAAGAAAAACAAAACACTTATTTTAAACCTCGAATTGTTCTATTAAATTATTGAATTAAAAAAATATATCTTGATTATAGTGTATAATATAATCATTTCTTCAATTATTCTTCCAAAATTTATGACACATTTATATTAGCTTTGCCATTTTTGTCATGCTCAACTAAGCTATGAATTAATGGTATTAATTGCAATTTTATAAATTTTGCATTTTTAAGTCTTCACCATAAAAGTTTATGCAATAATATTCTTGAGACGATTTTCATGTTAACCACCCAATCTAACTCCAGAAGTGCTGGTGAATAATGTCAATAAAACAAGAGAAATATGAAAGAAAAAATAAGCAACAAAGTAACATGAAAAAGGAAATTTGAAGAACAACCATTCATGAAAATTATGTAGGTAAAATGGCACACTTCGTGAAAATTAAGTTGCACAAAAAGTTGGGTAAGCAGAAATACCAACCTGTACATGAAGGTACGGAGATATGAGAGGGATGCTGATCTAGTCCGCCAATTGGAGTCATTGACAGAAGAAAGGATCACAGATACAGCATTTTCAAGAAATGGACGAGGTAAAATCTTCCACTTCAACAATTCAAAAGCTGCCTTTGCCAATGTTGACAAATCTTTATCAGATGTTTCCTGCATACAAATGGCGTGAAGGAGATACTCTAATACACATTGAAAAGATGAATCAAATCATCCTAAAAACATTTTGCAGAAAGGTAGTCAGGGATGAACATAATTTCCTACAGATCGTCAGGCTTCTTGATTTAAGGTGAACTTCCTTTGAGAAAGCCAAACCAATTATCTGACCTTTCTTAAAAAACTCAAATAACGAATCCCACATAGGTGGTTCACAGAGAACAAGAATTCTTCTCTGTTTATGTTGGCCCAGCAATTAAGTAACTGAAAAATCAACTTTATCAAGATGCTCTTTTTTTTTTACTATAAGCAGACCGTATACATAGCAGTTAAACTGTGATTCGAAAAAAAGTCTCCTCATATACAGGTGATTAACCAATTTTATTTCCTTTAAATTTCTTAAAGATATTTTTTCTATCCTTACACAGTAGCCAGCACAACTACTAGTGCACATAACACCAAAATTTAACTGCAGTTAGGTGGCTGAATTTGCTAAGGAACTAGGACAAAAACTTGGCGTTGATAACGGTTGTCAACAAGACCAGTATAATGGTGGTTTAAAGTATTTGTTTTTGGGCGTTGATAACGGTTGTCAACAAGACCAGTATAATTACATTTTATTAAGCTCAAAGAACGAGCACATCATAATGGTGGTTTAAAGTATTTGTTTTTTCCATATCCTCACTACATAACAAAATGCAAATTTGATGAAATACAAGGTTGCTAAAGCAGCAAACCATAGTCCCGGGTGTAGTAATACCTGTACGGACGCCTTTATCATTTTCCATTAGCAAATTTTATCTAAAGGGTCCAAAGACCGCAAATTACGACACAAGAAGAGCAATGTAACTAGAGGGGATCTTTTTCCTTCCCTGGCCATATGGAGTGGAGCGTGCATGAAAAGATATTAACGATGAAACAAAGAAGTTTTAGTTCACCAAATTGCTAAGAGCTCAACACAACAATAGGCTAGGCTCTCAATAAAACCATAGATGATAAGGTTGGTAACGGGTATGCATTCTATTTTCAGGCCCCGTTAGGTCAAATGTTAGCTTTTCTAGAGCGTTGAACACATCACTATTACCCACTTTTCTCACCACTGATGATAAATTATCAAAATAAAAGATACAACTACAGAGTAACAGATCAAATGGCTTGCATTAATATAGTAATGCAGTCCTATGTTGAAGCAAAAGAACATGCCAAAAGCAGCTACCTCGCTCAAAAATCAGCATATGAGTGCTCTAGCATAGAAGGTTACTGGATTCTAAAACTATAATTGTTACAAAACAAATTGGCAAATAAAAAAACTTCTTTTAAGTACCTGCAAGGAAATAACAGGATACAGAAGTCCAACAATTAAGTCCAGCAAAAATGAAGATCTACCGGACTTCAAAGATGATATGATGAAATGAAACAGCTGCGCAGAAGAGTGAAACAGTTAGTCCATGATAAAGAAACTACGCAAAGAAGTTTAACTTGAAAAATTATAGAAAAATCACAACCATTTCCATTCTCCTAATGTCAGTCTTAGCTTCATTGTTTGTGAAGCCATTTTCATACAAGTCATAAGTCTCCATGCTTTCTAACTGGCTCGAATTCTGTATATTAATTGCTGATTCGGAGGCCCTTTCTATTAAAACTTTGGCCCAATCTTCAGTTAGCAAAGATTTCATCGTGATGCTGTCCTCACTTCTTTTCGCACCCTTGCTAACGAAAGTTGTAAAAAGTCTTAAGTTCGAGCATAGGATAGAAAGAGTAACACCAATTGCTTCCCTCACCTGAAACCAATTCATCGAAATTTCATGAGAAGACATGAAAACGCATAATAACCTTGGAGCGATGTACCATTTTATCAACAAATTCAAGGGACAAAGAAAGGATGACGATATAAATTGATTTACCGAGTTCATTAAAAAAAGATTGGCTGGCCTGGACAAGAAACATGTTGTTAAAAGAAAAATGCGAGCATGGAGATGCTATTCTTTTACTGAACAGCCAAATAGTAAATCTGAATATCAGCTCCTCGTGCAAAAAATATCAAACCTGGTTAACAGTGTAGGATTTGAACAAATATTCCTCCGTAAAAGGAAAGATAGACATGATCTCTTCTAGAGATTATAATTATTATTAAGGGACCATTACATACAGACCACCCAAAACTTTCTATTTACAAGAAAATCACCCTCTTTCATCCTTTTTTCAAATTCTCACACAAATATCAAAATTCATAATAAAATCCCAACACATATTTTTCATTTTATCGAATTCTCAATAGTTTGATCGTGGCAAGCGTAAATACATCGATTCAGTAGTTCAAAAAAATCACGTCAAAAGTTAATTTGTAAATATCAATGTTTCGGGTGGTATTTATGTAATTATCCCAATTCTTGAATACACAGCAAATTGTAATGTTCTCTAATATATTGATAATGTCAAAGGCAAAATGTGTCAGCTCCAACACGAACAAAGGAGTATACAATTCGCAGATCCGATAAAACATGGCCTATGCTGCTCAGTTGCATCATGCATGAGGTTTTGCAGACCATAACAAACAAGTTATACTCCACTTAATTAGTCATATTGCACAAAATCTGACTAAACAATTATTTAGTATTATAATCCAACTTTCGATGCATGAGGTTTTGCAGACCATAACAAACAAGTTACACTCCACTTAATTAGTCATATTGCACAAAATCTGGCTAAACAATTATTTAGTATTATAATCCAACTTTCGTAACAAATGTGAGGATCTTTGGAAACCTTGACAAAATCCTTCTGGAGAGTATCAAAAGTGCAAAGCAGCAACTAGTGTGCAATGCGTTAAGAAGAATAGTGATTGTAGCTTCACCTTATCAAAAATATATAAGGAACAAAGCAGTTTTTAAAAAAAAGTTGGAAGGGTAGGTAGTGTTTTATAAGCAGAAAACACACAACAACCACTAATTACAAATCATGAGGTTGAGCAACACCATCAACACCGTGATAATGATGGCAGAAAAGTTACTGCAAAGCAAGTCAGTCAATCACACAAGTATGTCTATCAATCTCACGAGAATATACTAACAGTTTTTCTGACAGAAAAATCTCTAGTTTCTTAACTTGGTAAACTTAGCTTAGCGTGATCAAAACAAAATGTTGAATTCCTAAAAATTCTAACAGCAATCAGAAATAAAACATGATCTCAGAAAAGAGAAAATAAAAAGCAGAAAGACACTCGGTGTTCTTCAATAAAGATGAGGTTTGTGCCCCTGTGACTTGGTTATCTTGTTGGATTGTGATTTTCCTTAATGTTTTTTTACGTGACAGTTGTCAACGAAGGATAAATTTTGTTCTTAAGCTTGTGCCTATGCCAAAAGAAGAATTAGAAACCCTGATGTTAAGTTTTATTTAACCCCATGAAGTTTCCCAGGATTCATCCGATCCCTATCTAGGTTGCCAATTCCTAACTAGAATATGTCTATCCTACCACGATTATGTGGTTAACCTATTTATTCCACTATGTGACGAACAAAAGTCATAGATCACGAAATATTTTAACATCCTAATTGACCAAACTGGGAGAATATGAAATCTAAAAGGTTAACCAAAATCACACATGCAGGCTCGAAAAATGTTACATGAAAAACATCTCGAAAAACTGCAGAAAAACCATTAGTTCTATATTACAGAGACACGAAAGAGATTTTAGAAACGCATGATAGAGATGACCATGAAAAAAAATCCATGCAAATCATTGTAGTAGAAAAAAAACAATGTAAAACTTACAATAATGTCTTGTCCTCTCCACAACAGTAAAAGATCCCCCTCTCAGATAATAATCTCTCAACAACAACAAGAAACAAGAGGAGAAAAGAGAAGGAAAACGGCCTATAAGGTTTCAACCTAAAGAGAGAAAGAAAACCTTAAGAGAGAACTCTCTTTTATCCAAAACTCTCTCTAACTACAGCGTCCAACCACCCAAGATGCCCTAGAATCGTCCCAAATGAGCATAAATATAGGGGAAGCTCGATAAAGACAAGAAATTATCTTTCAAATTTGATTCAGTGTATGGGTGCTGGTGCGCCACAAGGCAAAGCAGGCATTTTAACCCAGATACACGATAGCGCAGGCGCGCCGTGAATCGAGCGTGGATGCTTTGGACCACAACTTTACATTATTCACTCCAATTCATCTTTTTTTGTTCCTGAACCGCATCTAATCTGCAAACTGCACAAAATAGGCAGAAATACCTTCCTCAACCATAATAATATCATAAAATACGCAGAAATAAGAGTAAACAGGCCAGATATTCATCACAAATTTCATCCACATCAGATAACATTCAAAACTAAAATTAAGGAAAATGAGATGCAAAGATTATTTTGTAGATGTGGAAAAAAAATCTTTTATCGACAAGGGGAGCCAACATGAAAATTAAAGCATTTAATCTTTAAAAAATTGAAAATACGTTATTTCTATGAAACTCAAAACAAGGCAAATGCACTAATAATCAAGAAATCAACTAGAACCTTGTAGGTTTGCTCATATTAATATGAGACTTTTATAGTCAATTGGGTCCATCAACTGGCAAAATTTAAATTAAATTAGTCTTACCATCAACTTTTTTTTTAAAATTAAATTGGTGGATGGAAGCTTTCCAACAGGACATTTTGAACTTTTTAAGGTCAATATAATTAGTTTAGTTGATATTAAGCAGGAAGATTCAATGTTTAAAGCTACACAATTAGGTATTTAGAAATTTACCATTCGCGGGCGAGGCATAAGCCTTAAGACAGTTTGAGGCATAAGTCTCATAATTTATAATTGCGCAATCAAAATTAAGCAGGAAGATTCAATGTTTAAAGCTACACAATTGGGTATTTAGAAATTTACCATTAGCGAGGCGAGGCATAAGCCTTGAGGCAGTTTGAGGCGTAAGTCTCATAATTTATAATTGCGCAATCAAAATAAATAAAATATATATATAATAACATTATTATTTATAAACATATGAAAAAATATATTAATATCATAACATGATAAAAGTGATAAATTGCACAAAATATATAAGACAGGATAAGGTTACAATAAAAGACCTTTCACTCCTATTATCTCTAATAGAATATCATTGATAGTTATAAATAAGACAAAAAATAAGAAAAAGTCGTCAACACTCTCATGATTTAAGAGGCCTTTATTGGAATCATCATCGTAAGACATATCTTTCTCCCCTAACTATTCATCAATTGACTCTAATTTCCCCCAATCTTCTTCTTCTTCAACAACGCTTAAGTCCTTTATTGGAATCATCATCATAACGTATATCTTTCTCCCCTAACTATTCATCAGTTGAGTCTAATTTCCCCCAATCTTCTTCTTTTTCAACCACGGCCATCTTTCTTTTCCTTTATAAAAGATTATACAATTAAAAAGCTAAAAATTAACATTCAAGAAAATGTTAGATATTTTTTAAAAGTAACTTTTCTTTTTGTTTATTGTTTAGTGTTTGATGTGCTACCTTCAATCCTGCCACCCTCAAAGAAATCAATGTTAGGATCTTGTTGTAACTCAGTTGATGCGATCACATTATCCTCATCTACAAACTATTCATCATCTGATGGCATATCTTCACATAAAAGAGGATCTTCATCATCTTTCAAACCTTTTTTTTTTCTAAACTTCTTTCTTTCAATTTCTTATTATACATGATGTACACCAAAGAAATAATCCTTAAGGTCGTTAAACGGTTTCTCCTTTTTGTATGAACTTGATTATATGTGCTCCTATTATACTCACATTCAAATGATGAGCATTTTAGTCCTAGCACTTTGATATCAAAACGTGGAAGCTCTAGAGTACCATCACCAAATTGGATCCACCATTAAACTATACTTGAAAAAAATATATATGTATTTAATAAATAAAAGAAAAATGTTTATATACTCAATACTTGTTTCAAATTTCAATGAACAGATTAAATATAAAAATTTTACCTGAAGAGCGATTTGTAACAATATTTCAGATTGGTGGATTTATTCTCAACATATTGAAATGACGAGTTGAGGAAATATCTAGTTGCATGCAAATGACAATGGAGTGAAATTCTGATTTTTCATCAAAGATATCTCAAATCTCTATAAAAGTGGAATCCACTCCTCCTAAGTTGTGTTATTAACTCATTGGCCTCATCCAATGCATTGTAAATAAAACTAATAATTGTCTTCTTCTTAGCATCTAACATCCTCAAGATTTACACTAATGGTCTTGCAGTTTTTGCTACAAATGCAACACTAGACCAGAATATTTTATTTACAACATTATTTTTACTTCCATTCCCTCAAATTTCTTAGCCCATGCACAATTAAGCCAGTTAGTGGAAGTGAACATTGCCTCAAATGGTTGTCTATCGTCCAACATACTCTGTAAAATAAAAAAAACTATAACAAATCTTATTGTAGCAAGGCATAGAAGTTCTTTTAAGAAAACTTTCTCATTAAAGACAATACCCAAGAATGATTATAAATGAATTTACTTATCTTCTTGGCTTGAATCAGTCCATTTTGATGATGTGGCAATTTGCCAATCTTCTCTAATATTAGGTCTATGCAATGTGCAACACAGCGAGTCCAGTGTAAATATTTTCTCTTCTCCATCAATCTACTTCCACATACCGTATAAACATTCGCCTTATCTGTCACAATTTGAACTACTAATGGATTGTTTGGTTTGTTGAAAACAAAATGCAATGTTAAAAATTTGTAATGTACTATGATTACAATATATTTAAAATACTTTCGAGTTAATTGATTTACTGTAAAATAAATGTAAGACTTTATCATTTTTTTTTGGACTAAAGTAAATTGAAAATAATGTATTTCAAAATATATTTTTTTGTCCGACCACGACGAAGGGGGCCGGTAGGCAGTTGGAAGTGAATGTAACTCCAGTCTGACTCCAAATCCTCTTAATCTCCTCTATTTTTTTCATTATCACTCAACTCCTCTTTCAATACCCATGTCTCAAGTCATACATAGATGGGGGTTTCAAGCCTAGATCATAAGCACCAATAGAACGAATCATGTTGACGTAAGAAGGAGATGTCACATTGAATAGGATAGCATTCTAAAAAAAAAACCTCCCAATATCCATGTAGACACATTTTTATGTCGCTTTGACATGCTTTGGAGACATCTTTTGAGCTACAGTTGTTCCCTCTCCATGGCCTCTATCATCCTCCACATTTACAATATATTGATCTAAAAGACCTCTTGTACCGTTACTAGGCATCGAATGTAAAGATAACATGGAATCTTTAGCGTTGCACTCACTCCCATCACAAGAGCCGATATCAATTCTATCATCAAACTCTTATTGTGCAATATGCTTTGACATCGTCGACTTTTTCATATAAGATTAAATTTCTGCTTTGAGAGCTTCTGGCACTTTAGCACAGTGCAATATTTTTATGTGAGCAAGAAATATGCTTTCATCCTTGCAACACCACATTTATGTCTCTTGTCATAGTAGTTGTACTTTAAATCAACCTGTCTTATCATTACCTCCAATATCAACTTGCGCATTATGCCTCCATGCTAGATCTTTTGATTGCCTAATATGAATTTTTCCTTGGCTCTTAACCAGTTCTCACAAAGCTTCAAAACCCTAAAATGAAAAACTTGTTTTAAAATTAAAATAAATTTGAATTAGGCAATCATACAATTAAGAGTGAACATGGACGCCTATTACATGATTACATCTATAATAATCCTTGAGTTGTATAACTAAGAGTGAGACATACCTATCAATGGTGAATAGCATGTCATAATGCAAAAGCCTCGTGGAGACATAAAGCATATTGTATGATATAATATAATATTTTCAATGCAACTAATACATATAAATGACCATCTATGAAAGACAATTAGATTGAAAAATACATTATTATAAAATAATATTTTATAATAATAAAATTAATTAAACAACTAAATTTATAAATAGAAATATCATTTTTATGATATCAAATATTGATGCTTAAGGCTAAAGGGCTAAAGCACATACGCGCAACCGCCCAAAATCAAAACATGCATTTTTTTTTGGGGGCATTTACACTCATTTTTATGATATCAAATATTGATGCTTAAGGCTTAAGCGCATATGCGCAACCACCCAAAATCAAAACATACATTTTTTTTTGGGGGCATTTACATGGCATTTACACACCTACTACTCAATTCCTATGTTATCACATATCTAACACCTAAACTTTAATTTTTTTTACTTTTATACCACAAAAATCTTTAATATCAAATCATACCACCCAATGTGACTAAAGCTTGTAAATTGAAGTTTAGGTCTTAGATACGTAAATACTAAATACATATGAATTATGTGGTATATATGCATTACTTCATTAGTTTTCTTTTTTTTTTTTTGGATTTGCTTATGTACAATCCAATGCTTATATATTTACAAATTAAACACCTGAATTTTGTAATATATGTATCTTCATTTCTTATCTTTTCTTTTTTTTTGGGACATTTACATACATACCACTGAATTCTTATGTATGTACATAGTACAAATTTAACACCTGAAATTTATTTTTTACATTTATAACACCTAAATGACCTAATGCTTAAAATAAATGCTTACAGATTCAGCAGAGCATGGAATTCGAACCAAACAGTGCACCGACAGCGAGAGGATCAGGCGGTATGGGCGTTGGCAATATCTTCTGGCATGTGAGAGGGGAAACTTACAGGAGATGAGAGCTTGCAGTTGCAGGTTCGATTGAAACAACACCATGTGGTTACTGTGGCATCGACAGCCGGAGGATCAATCTTCCATGGTGTCTTCTAGTGCAACAGGAAGGGTCGCCCGGTGTGTGAGATCAAGAGAGAGAGGCTCTTGGGAGACGTGGCTTTCAGATACGAACAGATACGCGCTTTTAAAATTAAGCCCTAAATACGAAGCAGAAGCCTCTTAAAATCGAAGGAAAAACACGTCTCCAAAAACCCGAGGTGTATGCAACGAGCGATTCCAGCATAATGTATGCTATGATGCAAACATTTCAGGATTGTGTAACTTTTGAGTAATTTTAAACATTGATTAGCTGATTTTAAGGAGTTCAAAATTCTCTTGTAAAAAGCATCGATATATCAATTTCTATCCAAAAAAATTTAAATTTTATTTTAGTCATCGGAGTAATTATGTTATCATATCAATAAAATCGCATATGTTTAATATTTAATAGGAATTTATAGAATTTATTATTTTAATATATCTTTATTATGGAGAATATCCTTCTTTTTATTATTCTTCCTTACTGCTTTATTTATTTGCACAAATGTAGGCATGTTTGTATCAGCATTATGATCAATATAGTAAATATATACTTTTACTATTTATATCATAGTATTTGATCAATGCCTCAAGTCTTCCTCTCCTCCTTTCTCAAAATCCCGTTAAAATCCCTTCTAATCAAGCTAAGTTTTTATCTCACTTACTGAACATCGATTTGTATTCGTCTTCTATTTCAAAAATACTATGAGGATCCCATATCTCCTGACTCAGTCTCCCTTCTAATCAAGCTAAGTTTTTATCTCACTTACCGAACATCGATTTGTATTCGTCTTCTATTTCAAAGATACTATGAGGATCCCATATCTCCTGACTCAGTGTCGCTATCATGCCTAGCATATCATGTCCACGCATTTTTGCTTCACCAACTTGTCCCTGCTTTTCCCACTCAGATCTCTGTGTCAATCTTTCTGGCTTACTTCTTTGTGCCGTTATCTCTAGCCCATGGCTTTGTATCTCTCTCTCTCTCTGGCTTGTTATTAAGCATCCTCCGTCCGAAACAGTTCTCACATCCAATCAAATTTAAGCATTCTCTTGAATCTAGCATCCATACCAGCATTTGCTTGATTTATTTTCTCTCAATATTCTTGTCCCAGCAACGTTCATAACCCAAAACTAATCTCTTAGTTCTTGATTTTCCTTAATAATGTCACGTTTTAGCATTGATTGGCTTATATGTACAGTTTCAGAAAGTTGTTAAACAACTCTCGGCTTAGATCTTTTTCCTCATCTTACCCTAGACAAGGTCTCGATGTTTCTTGCTATCGCACGTGTTGTTAAAGTTATTAGAATTATTATGTTGCCATATTAAATTATCGCATATGCATTATATTTATTATCATAATATATCCATATTTTGGAGAATGTTCTTTATTGTACTTTTCTTGTTGCTCTATTACATGCTCACACAATGATCAATCAAATAAAAATGTAGTATTGTATGGTTTTTGTCAAAGTTGATAGTGGAACCAATTTGGTTCAAATTTGATGAGTTGTGGGAAAGCATTGAACACTTCAAAAAAAATTTCACAATAAAACTAGTACACCTAAAAAATCTATGGAATATTTAATTCCCAAAACAATAACATCTTAAAGAGCATAGAAACTCTTAAAAGCTACCATAACTGGTACTATAGAAATTTACAACAGTGAAAGTTAAATAAAAAGTTCAGACTGTCGAAAAGCAAAATGTAGGTGGAGACTTACTTGGGCAGATGAGTGGCTCATGTTATCTAGTAACTCCTTCTGAAGTTTTTCAAGGAACTCAACTTCTTCAGCGGGCATTCTCTGTGGAGATATTTCAACTAGTGCAACTGAAAGGAAAAAATATCTCTTGGCCACAACGTTGCTTGTCACTGTCTGTGGTAAATCTATTGTTAAACAGTCCAAAATTCGTTGCCTAAGAAGAGGGATCCTTATACCATACTTCCCTTTCCCCGTGACAGCATAACGAATGGAGGCTGCCCACTCGGGTATGGATTCCACGGCTGGTGCTGTGATAAGCTTCTCCAGCTGAAATTTCATCCAACTGTCCCATGCTTCTGAAAGGCCTTCAATATCAGAATGAATTATACCAGCCAAAACTTCAGCAGCAACACACTGCTTTACCCTCTCTTTTGAACCAGAAAACTCTTCTAGAGCCCTCCGAATTGCATGCAGAACTGGTGTACCACATTCTTGAGCCAATCGTTTAAAAATTTTTGCAAAGCTAGAATAGAATGTATGACCTCCAAATGATGACATCCAGTTGGGAGTACGTGGCCAAGATGCTGAAAAGTCGAAGTAAAAATAAGTGATAGCTTTGTCTGTCGCACTCTGAAAAGACAATGCGCCATGACTTCCTTTGGAAGCAGAACTGTCACTGTCAGAAATAATATGGACATGGGAAAGACAGTTAAGTGTCTCGTTGAAAAAATTCTCCTCAAATATTTGGCCCAATATTCCAATTGATGCGTTTATATTTTGGCTTAGATTGTTAGAGATGCCGAATTTCTTTACTACTGGCTTTGTGAGGAGCGCCCAGCAATAAAGAGTTTAATGCAGAAATTGCAAGCATCCTTGACTGAGGAAGTTGACTTCTTAAATTTTGTAAAAAATGTCCTGAAAAGGGATGAATAGCATATTAGAACTTGAGGTGGGCTGCAAATTAAATTTTGTAAATAATCAGTTTGGCAGCATTCTGAAATTAAAGAGACATGAATATATTTAATCATGATATCATTCCATCAATCGAGAAATAACTTACCTGTAGTTTGACTGAGAAGTTTTTCAGACACAGTAGAACAATTTCGGTATGACAGAATCAACAGAAGTAGTACTCTATTTGCCATCAGATTATACCTGAAGTTCCATTCATATCATGGCTCGACAATTAGTAAAATGACTTGAAGAAAAAAACCAAGAATATTGCCATTTTAAATGTAATGGGCAAAAATAAAAGCTACTCTAACATGATAAATGAATGTCTCAAGCAAAATTGTTCATTCAGAGGGAAGAGATACTGATAGAATCAGTACCGCCAGTGCATGCTCGTTGAGTCAAAGCTAAAATAAGTGATCTTAGAAACCAAATCTTCGAATCCTGCAGCATCCCCAAGATTTTCTGGGTTCTTGAAGAAGCTCCTTGATATACCAGAGAAGTGGATATTGTATTTAACAAACAACTGAAAAACCAAGCAATGTTAATTAATTAATGAAAAAATAAAGGGGAGTTAACTAAAATAAATAGGAATAAACTTCTACGAATCAACTAATATACCTCGGTGATAGCTTTCTGAGCTTTCAGAGACTCATGATGGGAACTAAAGATAATTCATCATAAAGTGAGATTGATGCTCCTAAATTAATAAAAAAAGGGGGACTATGAAAGGGAACAAATGGCAAAATGTTAAAATGTTTACCTCGCCAAAAGACTTGTGACAAATGAAGACAATGATGTTGCATCCTAGACGGTGTGGAAACTACATATAAGCAATTACCTTGCAAATTTGCTCAAAAAGCAATGAATGTTTAAGGCTTACCGTTGTCATATGCCCGAGAACAGTTTTCATTGAAAGAACTGCACATGAACCTAACACTGCATGTTCTGGAGTTTTTGGATTCGACAGATGCTGAGTCATTATAAGAACAGATTTGGCAATAAATGTTGGCCAGCGCTTCAGCATTTTTGCTAAAGATCTCGTAGCATGCCTAAAAGTCAAAGTGACAACCAATTAGAGATAATTGACACTCAAATATAATCATTGTTTTATTTTTACCTTTTTTTTCTTTTACTTTTTCTTCTTTCTTTTTTTTTGTGTGTGTGCGTGGATTAACTGTGCATTTGCGTGTTGGATTGAGAAGGGGTAAATCCACATATCTCAAAACAAATTATTAAAGGAACAAATATTTTTGATGAAAGGCATAGATAAAGCAAGTTGCCAAGGAGAAAAAAAAAACCATCTCATATTTTGGTAAAGAGAACATGGTTATGTAAGCCTGGCACCTAATGTCAATGAAGTTTTTTATGCATCTAAGGGTTATTTAGACTTTTATTAGTTATTATTATGAGGCATAAATAGGGTTAATATGCTTAGAGTTAAGATTATGCTATAAGATTGTTGTCTTGAGTCTTAGGCTTACGATGTCTGAGGGATCGCCTATCTCTAGAACTATAGATGTTTGGAGATATTGCCTACCTCTCAAATTGTGGGTGTTGGGAGAGATTGCCTACCTTTCGAATTATATGTGGATCGTATTTTTTGAATTATTGAAGAAAAAATTTGTTTTCCCTAATTTCTGTGAAAAATTTGTCATGGTTCGTAATAAATTTGCATCAGAGCATTCGATTCTAAGAAGTATTGCAGGCGTGAATCTTTAGGGTTTTGCCCAATATGTCTGAAAGAATCGTGGAGCAGAAGGATCGCAGCGCAAAAAGCGTACAAAATTGTGGCATACAAGGATCATAGCATAAAAAGAGTCGAATGTAACATTTGCGACTAGGAACCAGCAGAATCACTGCCTACAAGGGGCCAGTTCGCTGCTTATAAGGGGTTTAAGCTGCGCCTTCCTAAAGAAACAAGAGAAGCAGTCGTGATTCCACCTAGCATGAAAGCAAATGATGGAATCACAACGTACGTATATGCTTGATAAACTCACGATCGAGCTATTTGGCAAGCAAAATGGGGATTGCCGCTACTTTTGTGACCAAACCTCGCGATAGAGTCGTGAATCTAGCTAGATAGGAAACCATCGAAGAGAAATGTGCAAATCCTTCGATCTAGGAAGTTGGCGACAGGATCGGGTGTACCCTAGTGATTCTACCACGCAAATCCGAACAATCAAACGATTGGATCGTGATGTACAATGACATAATATAACGATACAATCATTAATCAAACTAGTCAATTAGGAAGCCAACGTTGGGATCGTGGCATAAAAGAATTCCAACTTTGTGATCGATAACTTTCCTAGAAATAATGGAAGCCAAAAATATAAATGTTTTAGAAGAGAAATTGAAGAAACATGTGAGCCAAATCAAATCTGAAATAGATGAGGGTTTCTCGGCCATGGAGGAAACGTTCGAGGAAATAGTCACGGCACTAGAAGAAATGGTGAAGAAAATCATGGAGTTTCACGCAAACCCACCGCCACCTACCGCGGGATCGAGTGTCGTTGTCTGAAACAAACACAAGCTGCAACAATAAGAAGGATTTGCATGGCATCATGGCAGCTTCTCTACTTTAGGTGGATCTGAAGCCGTGAGATCTAGCACGTGAATTGGTAGCAGACCCGAGCGATAGCAATCTGAAGGATTTGAGCGTGGATCTGAAGCCGTGAGATCTAGCACGTGAATTGGGAGCAGACCCGAGCGATAGCAATCTGAAGGATTTGAGCGGCCTCAGGGCAGCATCGCTGCCTTAGGCAAATTTGGAGTCCTGTGATTGAGCAAAGGAATTGGGACCGAACGGTTTCTTCCATCAGTGTGTGCCCATGCCACTAACCCAGGTACAACACGACGAAATTAAGAGATGTCTCCGAGAGATGTTGGAGGTCGGGATCATACAACCTAGTGTGAGCTCCTCTAGTTCAGTCTCATTATTAAAGAAGAAGAATGAGAGTTGCACTTTTGTATGGATTATCGTGTGGTGAATGAGTAAACAGTACCTAATAAATTTCTTATCCCAGTGACCAATGAGCTACTGGACAAGTTTAGGTCTGCGATAACCTCCAAGATTGACTTAAAGTAGGGGTACCAAAAGGTTCAGATGCAGCTGAAAGATGCACACAAAAATGCATTTCGATCTCATGAGAGTCACTACGATTTTTTTATTAAATGGAAAGGATTGTCAGATGAGGACGCCACGTGGAGCCAAAATACATGATCCAAAATCAACTTATTTTTCCCGGCTTGAGGACAATGTGTCTTTTAGGAGAGGAATAATGTTAGACTAACACTCAAGGTCAATATGGTTCTTTATGTGCCTAAGGGCACTTTAGTCATTTATTAGTTACTATTGTGAGGTATAGATACAGCTAATATGTTTAGGGTTAAGATTATACTATAAGATTGTTGTCTTGAGTCTTAGATTTAGGGTTTGGGAGATATCGTCTTTGTCTCGAATTATAGATGTTGGGAGAGATTGTCTGCATCTCGAATTGTAGGAGTTTTTCTTTGTGTATTTGGATTGTGTTCTTTTGTGTTATTGAAGAGAAGATTTGTTTGCTCTAATTTCTATGAAAAAATCGCATTGGCTCATATCAGGTTACCATGAATAGAAGAGACACTAACAGTAGCTTATGTAACACAGTAAAAGCAAACCCCAAAATAAAATAGAAACTTCATGTGCAGCATAAGCAACTCCATTTGAATTTCATTAAGACTTACTGTACTTAATTCATCAAGAAACTTATTGAAGTACATGAAATTGACGACAAAAAATAAATAAATTATATCATGAATTGTTATAGACAAAAAATAAATAAATTATATCATGAACTGTTATAGACATCAGGTTAGTAATTAAAACCACTTACAAGCGAACTGTTTCATAGTTGTGCAAAGAGAGTTCCACGAGATCATCCATCAGAGGAACCATGTGTTCTGATGGAGACAATCTGGTATCAGCTCGAAATTTATGATATGAGGACTGTGATGACCTCCATGTATTATGCATGTATGCCTTGTCAATAAGCGCCCACCTGGGTCTGGAAAACATTATACACTTTCAAGGAACTGTTGTCCATCAAAACTGCATAAGACAAAAAATATAAAGGACATGAAAGAAAAAACAATGTTTCAATAAACATTACGTACCTTCTCTTTCCACTGGCATGAGAAGAAGTAATGAAATTACATGGAGGTTCAATTATTGAAGCAGATTCCAGTTTCCAAGCCTGAACATGATTTAACCAATCTTCATACTCCAAGCTTCCTGTAATCGAAAGCAACCTTAATTTTTCATCTTATCAGATGATCCTAAATAGAAGCTAATCATATACTTCACATATTGCATTCATACCATAATTAGTTAATGCATGAATTATGCGAATAATAAGTATCAAGAGAATGCTATCGTCTGATCTCTCCTTCAGTAAGTATCTACAAAAAGCTCAAAAGGAAGAACTTCAGCATAGAAAAAATGACTACGGAATGCTTAATTCAGTAGCTCAAACCTAGCAGCTCTTTCCCTCAATTCTGAACTACCAACAGGCAAACCAACCGCCCCAGCAATTAAAAAGAAGTTGGAATCCTGATCGGATGTACTTGTGCTTCTGAGAGATGGACGCATATCAGGTAAGCATGACATAACACCCTGCAATGATGAGTATATACGCAACAGTGTCACTTTCAAGTGTTCCTTCTCATGCCCTGCAAAAAGAATATGAATAATTTTAAAACATAATATGCACCATCTTGCATTCAAAAAGAGAAACGTCAACTAATCTAGTGAGGAAGCAAAAGTTATGGGCTAGAAAAGAGAAAGTGTAAATGCATTCAAGCATTTCTTGAGCTTACCTAAAATTCTACTTGGTCCTCAAGTTTCAAAATTGCCTTAATTTCAAACTAAGTCGAAAATTCTCAACTTCGTTTAGAGGCGTCCTTTGGCCTTTCTTTTGGTGTTTATTTCTTCTGAGAATTAGATAAATTCTCTGCATTTTTTTCTGTGAATTAGCACTTTTAGCTTTTGGTTTTGATAATTTTACTGATTTTCAATCATTCGATGATGAGGGAAAACTATAAGAGGGTTAGTGAGTAGAAGTTTCTAATTTTCCCAAAACTTCCCAACATCGATCTTCCATGTGCTTCTGCTCTCTCATTTTCTCGAAATCAATTGGAACAAGGGTACTGACACGATTGAATTGATTAAGCTATAATACTTCATATAATGGCCTCAGTTTTTCAAACCTGAGTGACCTTATAAATAGAGTCCAGACTCTGGAATCGATTAATAATAAAACACTTTTAAGACTTTAATTCCTCAATTTTCATAACTTCCCATAGATATATTCACTTAAAAACTGACTGAACCAAGATAGTTTTAGCATATTGATCAGTGCTTCATGACCCACCAAGTAAACCCCACACTTAACCGCACATATGAGACCCGGTACATGCTCAAAAGAATACCCTCATTGTCAAAAGATGTTTGTGTTTCTTTCTTAACCATACCTTGACAATTATTGAGCCAACATTATCAGACTGAAAAACATACATCATGCTCACCTGCATCTACATGAGTTTTTGTCTGGCATATTTCAAGAAGATCATCTAAAGCTGCTTGGAAATGATAATCCAACAGTTCATTTGCAAATGAAATTTCTTCTTCTCCAGGGATGTGCCACTTTGGGAGAGAGCATTCATTTTCATTTTTTGAGCAGCCCCATTCTTCTAAAATGGAAGCTCCAAGCTGGAATGGCACTGATCTAGGCATACAGGAAAATTAAACTATCTCAAAAAAATACTACAACTTAAACAATCAATTTGTTCTCCTTGAGAAAGAAAAATTATTCAATGAAAAAATATACTTATACTGCTCAATTGGATAATAGAGAACTAAGCTTCCAAGGAGAGATCGCAGAACATGATCACCAGCGCCATTAACCTGTCAATTAATCAAAGATTGAAGTCACCATTGAAAGAAAAAAATAACACATTGCTGCTATGACAGAAAGAAAAGCAAATCGAGAAGCAAAATCTGCCGCTTCCAGAAGCTTAGTAATGATGGATTCAAGATATGGCACAGTATGCCCACCAACTAACCTTCCATGAAGGAGCCCGGAATGCAGAAGCAATTGCTTCTTTCAGTTCATCTTTGTGATGAAGCAGCTGAGGGCCTGCATAACTGATGGCAATAGCTAGCACTTTTAAATGGTACTCAACTGCTGTTTCAAGAGCTGGAGAAAGTGTAGCCTGCAATTAGAACAATTTTATTAAGAGGTTCTGATACTTGAGAACTGCACAACAGAATGATCAAAGAAATACCTTGGTTGCAAAAGAAGAATCCTTTCTGCCAAAACCATAAGTAGGTGTCCCTTGTAAAGAAGAATTTACGGACTGTAGAAGTGGTTTGATAAGGTTTACAGCCGATTCTTCTGGGTTAGAATGTACACAAGCACAACAAAGAAGCCCAACTTCTGCAGTGGCACCAGGAAGAATATTTGTGTTCACAAATCTGGAAATTTTTTTCAGTACCTGAATGACAGAGTGGGTGGGATGTTTTTTATGATCCACACGTTATGGTCCAAAACAAATAGAGCAAATTCAATAATTTGGTGGCAGCATTTGACAGCATTGACAGCGTATAACCTGACTGAATAATGTTTTCGAAAGTTTCCCTAGCAGAACTTCTAGCATACAGAAGTAATAAGGAGTGTCCTCAACAAGGAAAGTCCCTGAAGTAATGGAAGTCTGAACACCATCATTCCTGCAGGTTTCGAAGTTAAAAAGGTATGTATATGTAAATAAAGTACAAATGAGCAATACATCCTAAATTTCAAAATAAAAACAGCACAAGCCATTGCTGCAACTACTTACATAACGCTTGTTGGTTCTAGATGTTGAAGGAGAGAAAATAAGCGGCAAAAAAACTCATCTAGCCATTCTGATAATGCAAGGCTTTGGAGGAATAGGGGAGCATCTTCATTGTCACCCACTACAATTAACTGCAAGCCAGAAAGGAAAAGATTTAGACGTATTATCCATTCTATGTATCATTTGCAATAAGAACTACAATACTTACATTGGAAAATATGGAACCAATCAATTGCATAGTGGCTAAGGTTTTTGGAGGATCATTTGCATCCATTCCAAGCAATGCATTAGACAGTGACATTGCAACAACATCTACCAAAGAATCAGTAGCATTTAAATCCTCCTTTTGGGGAGCGGACAACAAAGAGGCAAGAAAGAGAGCACGGCCAACATAAGCCACTGAGGTAACAGCAGTTTTCAACTGGTGGGTGGCAGTCATCTTTTTGGAGATAGAAAAAGGAACAACAGAAAGAAAAATAAAGATGCCTTAGCAATTTGCCATAGTAGAAGCTTTAATAAAACCAATTAAATAAGGATCAAGGACTTTTGACAGCCTATAAGAGAGAATGCATGGCTGTTCAGAATAAAGTTGCCAAGTCCAGCAAATGAAAAAAAAAAATCAAGATATACTCACTGTCTCCAAGGCCAACTGGAATCGAGATGCAATGAAAGGAAGAACCAAGGAAGGTTCCACATATGCTAATACTGAAGTTGCTACAGCAACTGTTTCTGAAAGTGTTTCAGTTTTGCTATATTGACCACGATCAATTAATTTCAAGGCCACTTTAACAAAAGAAGATCTTTCCAACTTTCCCAAAGACAAGTGAGACTGTTTGTCACCCTTACTGTAACTGCACGAATATCAATGATAAGAATATACATCTCAACACGATAAACCAAATTACTTTGATCAACGTCATTAGGGACTTCTTACAGTTGTTCAAGCTGAAGGCGTTTTTGAAAGCTAATTACTAAGTATCTTAATAAGCGCTCCAAGGAATGAGTCCAACGACCTCCATTTGAGGGATGATAATATCTAGGATAACGAAGTTAGTGTAAATCAATTGAATGTGGCAATATAACCAAAACTCGTTTGTTAAAATTAGAATAAAATGGGAAAGTAGGAAATTAACTGCTCCAGAAGACACACTAATCTCTCAAAGTGCTCATGCGCCAAACTACCAGGTTTAAAGAGATAAACCTGCAGTGATATACAGAATTATTTTATCATGCAGCATACTGAAGCATTCAACTATTGAAGAAATTGCAGCTAGGTGGAATGAAAAAAACACAATTATGAAATGACGTTGATCAGTTCTCCAAATTGAAAAAGGAACCTTACAATTGATTTTGCTATAGCTTTGGCAGGTGTGCCACTTTTGCTGGAAAACAGAAACTTTGTATTTCTAGGAACCTCAAGAGGGAAAGGATACGTTCCGTTTCCAGTTGATACGGGAACCTGGGAAGACAATTGAAATAAATAGTTAACAGAAATTACTCGGAGTTAACACATTTGCAAAGAGATTTGTTCTTTTCAAAGTGAACATAATTGAATGAGAGTGAGGGGAAATGAATGCATGAAAGAGCTTAAAGCTGACATCACGAATGATAATGAGACAAAGAAGTATAAACTCAGTAATGTAGAAGCTTTATTTTGGAATCAAAAATAAAATAAAATTGATCTGGACATCATCAACTGTCAAGACGTAATCCAATTAAAAATTAAAATGGTTAGGCTACTTCCAATATGATTTAAGGTCACGGTTTTGAATTAATTGTTATTAGCTAATTTCTTAGAGGTTAAGGGTAAGGCTGGGTACATCATCAGCCACTTCTTATAGTTCTTATTGACAGGAATTCTCATGCTCTAAACACATACTCATCCTAATTTAGCTTTGAAGAGGCTGTTTGGCGCCAAAAAAAGATTAGCGTAATCTAGTTTTGTTATAGTCATTTGAAACCAGGATTTTTACCGTGGTCCCATGTTTCAAGATGCAACCACTAAGATTGCAGCTTATCACGTGGAAGTTGTGGGCCAGAATCGGGCCGAACCTGCTTGGGGGGGGCTGCCGCCCAAGGGGAGAGGTCTCTCTCCCACCTCCCTCCTAGTTATTTGTTATTATAAATATGTTCTCTATGTTAGGGTTTAGTTTTTCTTCATTGAGAATTCTTTCCGTCGGTGCTTCTCCCTTGATAGGGTTGTATCCGAAAAAATGTGGTGCTTAGGATGTATCATGCTCCAATGTGGTGACTATCACCTCATAATCCCTTACCTATGCCCCTCTCTGGCTCGCTGCCATCTTCTCTGCGCTCATCATTACAACCCTTCCTGCACCCTCTGAGGCCACCAGTCCTCTTCGCATTCCCACTTACCGCAGCCAGCCCCTCCTGCACCCCAACCTGCCACGGCCAATCCTTTCTGCACACTCATCCGCCACCGCGAGCCCTTCCTGCACCCCAACCTGTTGCTGCCACCACTTCCAGCACGCCATCTGCTGTCGCAACCTCCTAGAACGCCTCCCACCAAGTGTCAAGCCAGGTTCACCACTTTCGTCCTCGCTTTAGAGCCCTCCGTGCTATTTTATTTTTGTTTTAACCTTTGTTATTTTTCCTTTAAATTTTCAGCAATAATATTCAAGTTGTGTTGTTTTTCGGGTTAACTCCGGTATCAATTGGGATCATAGCTAGTCTAATCCTAATGTTAACTCCGGTATCAATTGGTATCATAGCTAGTCTAATCCTAAACCTATCTTATGTTATCCTAGCATCCACCTTACCCTCTCCCCCCACCCCCAACAAAAAATTTTATTTCCTATCCTTAACCACATCTTCTAATCCCCAAACCCTAATCAAGCCACTACGAAAATAAAAGTCAGAACACACCAGGGATGAGATACAGTGAGAGATTTGTCGGCTTCAGCAAAGAATTGTGCAAATTAATGAGGAAACCCAGAGGAAAATTACATTTGATTGTGAGCGAGAAAATCAAAGAGGAGAAAGGATCGAGGGTCTGAATCCGTTCCATAGGGAAGACGTTAGTGATGAGGAAAATAGGCCCCAGCGCTTCATAATTCAGTATCAGAGGAGGCTACGTTCCATAGGGAAGACGTTAGTGATGAGGAAAATAATTCATATCAGAGGAGGCTGAAAGAGGAGGCTACATATGGAGTATCAGAGGAGGCTGAAAGAGGAGGCTGAAAGAGGAGGCTACATATGGAGGACACTGGGATTTTGGCATCAAAATGCATCTACCAAAGTTCGATGGAGTTATGGATCCAAACGACTTTATTGAATGGTTGCAGAAATTAAGAGAATCTTTGAGTATAAAGAAGTGCCCGAGGATAAAAGTGTAAAGCTTGCGGCTATCAAGCTTAAAAGAGCACCTCCATGTGGTGGGAAAATTTACAAAGACAGAGAAAGAGAACGGGCGATGACAAGATTACTAAGTGAGAGAAGAAAATAAGAGAGATACAGATAAGATACATGCCTCCTCATTATCTCCAGGATATGTATTTGGGACTCCACCACATGTAGCAGAGAGACTATCGATGGAGGGGGTCACAACACAGTTTGACTAATTATAGATAAAATGTGAGTTGGAACATACCATAACCTTCTATTTGGAGTCCTGAAGTGCGCTAAAACGTGGTGTAGCTGCAACCCTATTGATCACTAGGAGATATCAAAACCTTAGCTTTTAAAGTGGAAAGACAACAGAAACTGAGCTGGCAACAACCTCATTCAAAAATCCATCCTCATTCAGGCAATCACACCCTAGAGGAGTAGAAAGAGCGAGTAAAGAAGTGATAAGACAGATCTGAGTGAAATGAAGCCAGAAAAAAGTAGCTCACCCGATATAGTACCTATCATGAGTTGTTCCATATGTCACGGCTATAGACAGACTCCGGCTGTCCCACAAGTCAAGTTGTTTCATTCACGGAGCAGAGCACCATCGAGGAAATAGAGAAAGAGGAATCAAAGGAGAATATAGAGGAGGAACTTCAGTTCCAAGGAGAAGAGAGAGAGATGTTAATCATATGAAGAGTCCTGCAGATGAAACCGAAGAATGACCATTCATGGCTGAATATAGAGGAGGAACTTCAGTTCCAAGGAGAAGAGAGTGAGATGTTAATCATATGAAGAGTCCTACAGATGAAACCGAAGAATGACCATTCATGGCTGAAGCACATTATTTTTGCACTAAGTTTATGATGAATGGCAAAATTTGCAGTTTGATTATCGCTGGTGGGAGGTGCAAGAATGTAATATCCACATTGATGGTGAAGAAACTGGGGGGTTGTCACACTGAAGCATCCTCAATACTACTCTCTTACCTGATTGAAAAGGGAAAATGAGATACGAGCGGATTAGTGGTGCTTGGTTTTATTTTCGATTGGGGGTCAACTACAGGAGGAAGTGTAGTGTGACGTGATCCCTATGACAGCGTGTAATACTTTTTTGAGGAGGCCATGACAATTCCAACGCAAAACCCATCACGAGGACTTTAAGGATATTTACACATTTAAAAAGGATGGGAGATGCATCCTGCGTTTACCTGTCAAGGATGCGAAAGACGCAAACGTCACAAAGAAGACGGTAGTTCTGAGAGCCACCTTCATGCATTTTGTCCGCGAAGCTCCAATGGTAATGACATTGGTCTTTTTACTAGAGGGAACGGAGGAGATTGAGACACTAAAATCTATATAACCACCGTTAAGTGACTTCCAAGATGTGATGACCGCCAATCTTTCAAAGAGATTGCCACCATTGATCTCATACCAGGATCAGTATTACCAAATAGGCCTGCCTACAAATTGAGACCTGCAGTGTACGAGGAGTAGTAACAGCAGGTACAAAATCTCGTCGCGAGAGGGTTGGTCAGAGAAAGTAGCAGTTCAAGTGTTGTTCTCGCCTTAATGGTACGCAAGAAATGTGGATCGTGGAAGATGTGCATTGACAGTCGGACCAACAGCAAGAACACTATCAAGCACAGGTTTCTCATACCTTGCCTGGACGACCTCTTGGATCTGTTGCATAGAGTCAGACTTCACTAATATCGACTTACGCAGTGGTTATTACGAGATCCAGATGAGACCTAGTTACGAGTGAAATACTGCTTTCAAAACCAGGGATAGATTATATGAGTGGACGGCCATGCCTCTCGAATTGTCTAATGCGCTCAATATGTTCATGGGATTGATGAATCAGGTGTTCTGGCCCACGTCAAGAAGTTCGTAGTGGTTTAATTCGACAACATTCTAGTATACAGCAGATCAGAGGAGCATTTGCAGCACCTAAGGACGACATTCGAGGTTTTGCAATAAGAAAAGTTATATGCCGATTCAAAGAAGAGTCACGTTTTGAAAGCACACTAATATTTTTTGGGTTATATCGTGTCTAATGCAGGCATCCAGATAGATCCTATAAAGATCGAAGCAATTGTGAGTTGAACCGCTCCGCAATCCTCTACCAAACTGAGATAGTTAATGGGGCAGGCATTATTCTACAAGTGATTCATTAGGAGCTTTCGTAACATCACCGCTCCCCTGAAAGAGCTTTTGAAAGGCGAGAAATTCTAGTAGACAGATGTAGCTCAGACCGGTTTCGACACAATAAAGGAGAAGGTGCCATTACCGAATTTCAATCAATTGTTCGAGGTGGAGGGGGATGCATCCAACATGGGGATTTAGGAGCAGTGTTGAGCTAGGGAGGCCAACCAATAGCCTTCTTCAGTAAGAAGCCAAATTAGTCTAAGAGGAAATATTTGACGTACGACAAGGAGTTCTATGCTATTATGAGAGCTCTTGATCACTGGAGCCAATACCTACTAATGGGTGAGCTCAATTTGTCTGTGGATCATGAGGCTTTGAATTTCTTGAATAACTAGAGCAAACTGAAAGGGTCGACGCACTTCTTGAGTGTAGTTCTTAGTGTTGTTCCAGTTCAAGCTTAAGACCAATGCGGGCAACCAGAACCGCATAGCTGACGCACACAGTCGTCGTCACTTGCTGATCACGACAATGCAGGCTCGAGTTATAAGCTTTGAGATAGTAAAGGAATTGTAAGGGACAAACGAGGATTTTGGGAAAATCTAGGAACAGTGTCAGGAGAAGCATACCGAGCAGCATTACAGAGTTGATAGTTGCTTGTTCTATCAGAGCCTAGGGAACCTTCTTAGGTGCTTTTTGGGAAAGAATATTAAACAATGAGATTTGATTTTGGCTCAAGCCGAGTTTGCTTACAACAAATCCATGAGTCAAGAATACATGACCCGCCTTATTTGAGAATGTGTGTGATCGCAACCCCCTCACTCAACTTGACTCAGTACCGCTCATACCAACATCAGAGATTAGTGAGAATGTTGAGGAGCGGGTACAAGAGATTCATAAGCTCCACAAGGAGGTTGGTAAGGGAATCACTAAGCAAAACTACAAGTACCAGACATATCCAAATAAGAAT